TCTGGATGCTGAGGATACCTGACGGATAGTCTTCAGAAGGTGGGGACGCGATGATGAGTTGATCTTGGCGGTTCTTGAACTCTTCAGACTTTTGCTGTTCCACTTCGTTTCGGTGATCCTCGCTCGCCTCCCGAAGTTTGTCCTCTGCCTCCTTGTACATCTTCTTTTTCAACTGGTCTATGTTCTCAACATCGGGGTCTTCGTCTTGCATAGCAAGCTGGTCATCGGTGATTCTGGTTTTCGAGAAATAACCCAAGCTCCAGCTTAGTTTTCCAGGCATGTCATTTCCGCTCTTGAGTGCTCTGAAACCATCTTCTCGGTCGTGCATTTTTCCATTTGTCTCATCACTCCTCATCAACTCTTTGAGGTCCACCTCTATACGTCCCAGGTCGTCGTCAGCAGTGGAACGGTCGGAATCCCACAACTGCAGCCTTAGCTTCTCATCTACGTTCAACTGGTCAAAGGTGACACAGACAAAGCAGTGTTCGTCCCAGTGGGGATTCATGTTTTGCTGGAGAACACGCGTCGACCAAAGCGGCTTTCCGAACTTGGCCCATCCCACGCTCACATAAGGGTCTGCAGAACCACCAAAAGGACCGATCTTGGTATCGCCCTCTTTGAAGTCGAATGCGTATTTGATACGCACCATAATAACACCCTGTGCGACTGTGTCCTTCTTGAAGTCGTCGCCCATCAACATATCTTTGAGGTCCAAGGTAAGAGATTTGGGTGCGACGTACTCGGCTAGTGCTGCATCCATGGATGATTGCACGAAGCTTGAGATTAGAGGCACGTCCATGAGATTTGGTCCTTTCTTGATGAGTGGTACACACGATAGCGTCACTTTGGGCTGGCCCATGAAGGCCATGGTACAAACTGAAAAGAACGGAGGATCAGGACAGAGCTGCAGACGGAAGCGCATAACGCCAACTACACCAGCGAGATCGACCCAGACAGCTAAAATGTGTAAGCAAATGAGTGCCATCTGGGAACGCAAAACTTACGTATCTTGATATTGCCTGGCATGTAAAATGCCAACAATAAATGAGCATGTTTGGCGCGTGACTTGATACCCTTTCCTGTGGATGGTCTGTATGCGAAGGCAAGTTCCACATTTACGAAATCTCCATCTTCAGCCTCCATTGTGTCCTGTTGTGATTGGTCATCTTGGCCTTGGCCGTTATCATCGCTATCCTCGACAGTCCGGTCGCCCTTCTCTTGGTCAGGAGACTTCAAGTTTCCATCGGAGCCTACAGATCTGGCAGCCCCGCCTGTAGGAAGCCATCGGACACCAAGGATGCGAAGGGCCTCGCTACCTTGACCAAGGTCTTCGACAGCAACCATACGGACCATACTGGGGAGAGAGGCTTGCATGACATCCTGCAAAGGTTAGCTTGTATATTGAGTGTGCTGTGGATTCTGTACCTCGAGTGTATCTGAGATGCTGGTAAACAGATCCGGATTGATCAATGGCCATATGGACGCAAACAACGAGTTCAACCACTGCGTACTTTCAGCAGTTTGAGTCTTGGCCAGTTTCTGACCTCTTTGTCTTTCCGCCTGCCAGACCTCAGCATCCCACACATTTTTGATCTTGTTCTCTGACCACTGTCGCATGAAGAGTATGATGGCCGCAGAGACGACTGCCATAGTGCTGAGTTCAGTGGCCTTCCACAACTGTCTTCCCCAGCCGGTCGCGTGGCGCGTAGGCCAGAACAGTGTGTTCACCAACATCAAGCTGATTGCAGCTGCTCCCACACCAACAGTTACAGCCTGCATATAGACGGTTGTGATCTCGCTTCGTGTCCTATCGAAGGACGGAGGCGGGAACAATGCCTGCATACCAATATGTGAATCCTGTGATTCTTGCCACTCATCATTGAGATGCTCGTCGCTCTTGTTGATGGCGTCTTTGCCAGTCATCGTGCGTGGATCTGACCCTACAGGCGGTGGATTCTTTGCAGTGCTCTTCAGCTCTCGGTCTGTGTAGTCGTGGATTTGAATAGGTAGATGGGTAATGGGATCCGTGACTTCGCGATCTGCACCATCGGCTTTGAACTTCTTCATATCCTTCCGGGCCTGCTTAGGGTCTGACGAGGACATGCCGTCCTCTGTTGTGTCCTGCAATCCATCTTCGCTGTCCTGGTCTTTCGCTAGATTCTGGTCCTTCTTCTCGGGCGTGTTCTTTCCGGCGTGATCGTCTGCAATCGGCTCGTCTAGCTCGATGTTCTTGTTTCTGACTGGATATGGTCCATTGCCGTCGTTATCCAACTCTACGTCTTTACCATGCCTGAAGACGTTGACGGCGTCCCCTAGCCGATCTCGTGTACTTGGTTCGTCACTCGCGCCATCTGCATGGCCGTATGCGTCTTCTCTACGCTGCTTCTCTTCGCGGTATTTTTGGACTGTGGGTATTGGATTATGCGCATTGTGCGGCCGTCGGTAGTTTCTACGCTGGGCGTCCACGTCCTCGACGCCGGACATGATGGAGCAGTGAGTAGTGGCTTGCGTCGGTGCTGGTCAAGGTCGTTCGTAGCGAGGGGCTGACCTGTGCAATTAGTGGTTGGCGGCGGGGTACAGTCGTGAATTCATTAGCCGTGAGAAATCGTAAGTCTTGGGAAGCTTCTTGAAACCTGTCGCATTGGGAGGAAACAGGAAAAGCGCAAAGACAGGGAATGTTATGTTCTATTCACGATTGACGTAGGTACAAGCAAGGGAAGGTCGCATAACCTGTCCTTGAAGCTCCACTTGGCACGCTGCACGCGAATCATTTACAGCTGCAAGGCCGAAGATCCGTGATGAATAGCAGGCCCCGTGCATGATCGAATGCTTTCCTGCGATGACGTCGTGTGTGCCCGCAGTTGTGCGTGTGTCAGGCCACTGCGAAAGGCAGCTTTTGACGGCTTGGCATGATAATTGCGGGGATGCCGATATCCGGGCGATCGAGGCAGCAGGCAGTTCACCGAGCGACCCACTCACGCCACGTCAGCCACCACATTAGCCACCGCTTCAGCCTCACTTCCAACTTGTAGTGTTCTCAAAGGCATGTACCAAGTTCTAGTTCCAGGAATTGCAGATATTGAAGCTCACGCTTACTTCCGGGCAAAAACTCAATTGTACTCGCACCAGGGGGTATCATTCCAGCTTCTACCATCCTACTTTGATCGGGTCCCAATCAATTGCTCCATATCCGCACTTGCTTGTCGGCACCACCACTCCCAACCCTTTCACCATCTGGACTCCAATCCAACGCGAACACCTGATCCTTGTGCCCAGGCAGATCCTCCTTTAGTTTGCCAGTCCTCATGTCCCACACCTTCAGCGTCGTGTCCTTACTGCAGCTTGCTAACAGTCGGCTGTCCGCAGAGAAGCAGGTCATGTATACTGGGCCGACGTGTGCCCTGAGCGTGTTGAGGAATTTTCCGTCTCGTGCTGACCATAGTTTTACGTGGTTGTCCCATGCCGCTGACGCTAGGAGTGCACCGTCTGGTGAGAAGGTGACCTGGTTGATCTGCTTTTGGTGACCTGTCATTCTTGTAACTGGCTTCTTGCTGGTCAGAGGCGTCCACAATATGATTGTACAGTCCTCTGAAGCAGTCGCTAAGCGTTCCACTATTTCTCCGTTGATGGTAGCAGCTTTCTCAAAGCGCGCCTTGGCTTTGGCGAGCTTCTCCTCAGGGCTGGAAGGTGCCTTGCGTGTATGGTCGTGATACGATGTACGCAAGACAAAGTCTGTTGAAAGTGCAAGATGATTGACCCAATGCGCGTGTCCTGATAGGGTATCGACAAGCGTGCCCTTCGCAGCATCCCAGACCTTGATGGTCTTGTCGTGAGACGAGGTGTATATCCGTCCAGTACCACCCCACTTAACGCATGTCACACTGCCCTTGTGACCAGATAGAGCATAGTCGATTCGGCCGCCTACCGCATCCCACACTCTTACTGTGCCGTCTTTTGACGAAGACGCAACTCGTGGCCGGCCAGCCTCTTGTAGGTGGTAGGGCTCCCAGGAGAGTGACGTGATGAAGCTGGTATGACCTTTGAGAGCAGGTCCGATCTGCTTTCCGGTGTTTGGATCCCATATCCGCACCTCGTTGTCGTAGCCACCGGAAGCAAGCAGAGAGCCGTCGGGCGAGTAGCTAACTGCTAGAACCCATCTTGTGTGCCCCTTCATCGTGTGCACTGGTGTTCCTGTGTCACAGTCCCATACCCGCACCGTCTTGTCTCCACTACCACTCGCCATTCTGCTCGAGCTAATTGGCGAGAAGTTGACTGTTAGAATGTTGTCACCGTGGCCCGAAACTGCTGCCGAGCAACGTGAAACAGCTTTGACTCGAAAGACTGCTTGCGGCGCATATTGAAGTACTATCTCGTTTTCCGCTGACGCTTTGCCAGGCTTGACCAATGCGTTGTATAAATCGTCCTTGTCGGCAAGCGCCTCCGTCGCGCCATCGGGGAAGAAGCGATACGGTATCTGATCATCGGCTTGGTCCTTCAGGTTGTTGAGCAAGAGCTCAAGATTCTTCGTCGACGCTTGCGATAACGGTACAGTGAGCACTGGGATACTGCCACTCTCGCCTGTGGCTTGGTCGACGAAGCGCACTCGTACAGTGCCATCGGGTATCGTAGTGTCAATGTCTTGTTGTTGGCGTGCAATCTCGGCTTGCTCCCGTTTCTGACGTTTTGACGGAGGTGGGTACTGGGTCGCCATCTTTCAAATACTTTGCAGTACGAAACCGGAGTTAATAGGCAAAGCGTTGAAGCTGTCTTCTGCTTGGACGCCCTCACTGCTATGGGATTGGGAAAATAATTTCTAGGTGTTATCGATAATGGACGCGCTAGTAGTAGTGGGGCAGCGCGCTAAGCTGTTTCCCTGTGGGCGACGCGCTTGCCTTCTCTTCTTCCGCCTTTCGTCTCAGCTCTAGCAGCGACACCTTTCAGTCACTGAAGCTCATGATTCACGCAAATGCTCAACAGCTAATCTCACAGCACTAACAATCATGTTCCACCGACCAAGGTCCTCGACCTCACAGAGCACCTCTGCGTCTACGTCGTACGGATATGGTGACTATATAACCATCACTACGTCCCGTCCAGGTACCCGCAGAAACACAGGTAGGCCCTCGACTGCACGACCAAGAACCGGTGCCTCTACTATCGCTAGAGTCGAGGCTCAGAATGTTGTCTGTGCTATTGCCGAGTCTCGGGGGATTTCACCTACCGTTGGTCTGGCCTTCGTGAACCTTGACACAGCAGAAGCAGTACTCTGTCAAATCTGCGACAGCCAGACTTTCGTCCGAACTGTCCATAAACTGAAGGTCTACGGCCCTTCCGAGATTCTGATCGTCTCTACTGCAGCGAGTCCTAGGTCGAAGCTCTTCTCTATCATTGAAGAGAATCTTGAGAATATCGGCAGCAAGTTGACTCTACTTGATCGACGCTATTGGGCTGAGTCGACTGGATACGAGTACATTCAATCTCTAGCTTTTAAAGAGGATGTCGAAGCTATCAAGGTCTCCGTCACTGGCAACTACTATGCAGTGTGCTGCATGGCAGCAGTGAGTGTCCTTCCCACCCATTTGCGCATACTATGGCTAATTTCAAAGGCGCTTAAGTACATTGATCTGGGTATGGGTATGGTCTTCTCCATTCAATCGCTCCGGATGAGATATGAGCCGTCAGAAGGATCGATGATGATCGATGTGTCCACTATCTACTCGCTCGAACTGGTCCAGAATCTCCGTGATCCGAAGTCAAAAGATTGTCTGTTTGGCCTTCTTAACGAAACGTCGACACCCATGGGCGCACGGCTCCTCCGGAGCAATATTTTACAACCACTTACTGATCCAGAAGTACTCAACACGCGATATGCTGCAGTGGACGATCTGACCAAAAAGGAAGAGCTATTCTTTGCAACACAGGCAGCGCTGAAAAATTTCCTCGATGCTGACCGCATACTGACCGCGCTAATCATCACACCAAGCAAGCCAACTCTTCAGACAACGGAGCAGTCTATCAATCACATCATCATGCTCAAGCAGTTCATAAACTCCGTACGGCCTGTCTTCGAAGCCCTTACTGGAACTAAGTCTGTAATGTTGAATAACATTCGCGAGATTTGTGCACCAGAGAACGTCGCGCCTGTACAAGAGTTGATCGATCACGTCATCAACGAAGACACCACGTACGCAAGGCAGCCTCTCGAACTGAGGAATCAGCGCACATATGCCGTAAAATCAGGAGTCAATGGTCTACTTGACGTTGCGCGTACTACTTATAAGGAAGCCACAGAAGATGCGTATCAACACTCAAATGAACTCAGTCGTAAAACACAGTCTGTTCTTACGGCAAACACACTCGCTGACTTCAAGAAGAGGAGCACGATATTCGACTCGACCTCAAATATGACACAGCGCGCCAGTTCTACATGAAAATTGCAACGTCCGAGTTGGAAGGCAAAGTACTACCTCCAGTATTCACCAACGTGATTCGTCGCAAGAAGAGTATCGAGTGCCAGACACTAGAGCTCATGAAGCGTAACCAGAAAGCACGTGGTTATGTATAGTTGATATGGGTTCTACTAACGGCGCCAAGATTGCTGTTTCGCACCAAGAAGTCATTCTCATGAGTACAGCTAAAGCTACGAACACCACGCAGTATGGTTACTGATATTAACTAGGCGATGAAGCAGTTGAGGCTCTTATCGACAAGGTCCGTAGTCATATGTCCATCATGTTCAAGATCTGCGAAGCAGTAGCGATGCTAGATATGGTATATATGATTGAGCAATCTATGGTGTCGACAAAGCTCATGGGTAGTAGGTTACGGCATTCGCGCATTTGGTTACAGTAAACAAATATAGTAAGCAAACTCAAGTCTATAGTGCCTAATGCACACTGTGCTAACATGTCCTCAGCTCAGCCACGACTTACTGATACGCTAGCTATCGAAGCGGGACGACACCCGATCAAGGAGAAGATCATGCAGAGTAAATTCGTCCCAAACGATGTTTACGCGACGCAACAGACAAGGTTTCAGATAGTCACTGGTTGCAATATGAGTGGAAAAAGCACCTACATAAGATCGGTCGCTCTAATGACTATCATGGCTCAAATCGGCTCTTAGTAACTACCCTTCGAATTTCATGGTATGTCTCTAGGTGCTAACCGGATCCAGCGTCCCTGCCAATTACGGCTCGTTTCCCATTCTACACCAGTTGTTTGCTAGATTGGGCATGGATGATAACATCGAAACCAATGTATCTACATTTGCCGCAGAGATGAAAGAGATCGCTTTCATCCTACGTAACGTTGACCGGCATAGCTTGTGGGTGATTAGACTCCATTCGTATATCGACAGTACTGATAATATAAAGGGTCTTGATTGATGAATTGGGTCGTGGTACCAGCACTAGAGATGGCTTAGCTATCGCCTTAGCCATCGCGGAAGCCCTTGTTTCGAGCCGAGTACGTATGCCTATCTTATCTCTGCATCTTGCTAATATGTCAATAGGCTCTAGTATGGTTTGCGACTCACTTCAAGGACCTTGCAATAATCATGGGTGATCGTGTCGGAGTCCAGAACCTGCATTTGGCGGTAGAAGTGAGATCGTTTCTGTCCTGCCTAGACCAAACCACTTACCCTTTCAGATGGAAGATCCACACAGCATGACAATGCTTTACAAAACGACTCAAGGGATTGTGCAGGAGGTACATTATGGTCTAACGCTTGCGCGCGTCGTCCCACTTCCACCTGGGATTGTGGAGCATGCCACCTTAGTTGCGCAGAAGGTCGAGCGACATATGCTGCAAAGGAAGAAAGCATCCGGGACTGTGCTCAGAGAAAAGCGGCGTAAACTCGTCCTAAACCTCAAAGAACATCTCATCCAAGCCCACACAGGGGTGTTAGAAGGTGAGGTTCTTACTGCTTGGCTCAAGGAACTGCAAAATGAGTTTGTCAGTCGTATGACTGCCCTCGAAGCCGAAGCTGCAAGCACAGATCAGAAAATCCAGGATGAAGATGAAGAGATGATGAACAGGAACGACGAGGACGAAGACGAACGACCTGACACGTACGCCAGCCCGTCTGTCATTTCGGTCGACTCGCGTGTGAGCTCAACACAATCCAATTCTACCACTCGAGCCATGTCAGAAGCCTCTACCTTGAGAGCGGTCTCTAGCAATGAGCGTTAGCAGTGTAAATTGTTCACTTTTACAAGCTGTACGATATACATGTACAAGGCGAAACGCCCATCTTGAGAGCGTCACGAATTATCTAGTATGTCGATAATTGGCAGTTCGCTGCAGTATCTGCTCAGATACGTGAATCAATTACGGTGCGCTTTTTATCTTCTTCTCTTATTCATTCTTCGAAAGATACAGATGATCGATTGTGCCTGTATGACTGTGCTGACGGCGGGCAAATATTCCAGCCTTCCATCAGGCAGTGGCCGAAAAACATATCCATTACAGAATTCAGTAACGCGCCAAAGAGCTAAAGTCATCATTTATCATTCCAACGATGAGATTCCCAGCGGAATGAGAAAAGTTCGTTCCGAGTCGATCTTGCCGATATCGTCCAGCCCCACTTAGCATGAAGCATTGAGGTTTCAAGGTTGCGATTGGAGCGCGCTGCAAAGTGCGGGGGCTTATCGTTCCTACTTCCACCTCGTTCTCCACTCGGAACGGAGAACCTACATTTGAACCTCGCTACGCAGGATAAGCGATCATATACATACCCTCACCACATCAGCAATGTTGTCGCTTGTCAGAGCACGCTAGATGCATACATGCGGTACAGCCGACCCAACATCCCAGTATTCGGAACTCGGGTGCACTGCTGCTCGTCATCATCCAAAGGGCATCCTCAGCCTGCCGAGTTAGCTTCATATGGCGTTGTCTTGACTGCACACACACCTGTAAAGACATTAGTTATAGCCGTCGTCTGCAATATCTTTGTGTTATCCGTCAACCGACAGCGCCATGCCTCGACCGAAGAAGCCCGGTGTTGAGCCGAAGAAAAGATCGCGAAACGGCTGCTGGTAGTACCCCAGGTCTCTAGAACTTGCTCATTCGTGCTCACTCAACACAGGCCATGTAAAGCTCGAAAGGTAAAATGGTAAGACGTGTTGCTTCGACGCCTCATGATGTGCTGTTAATAACTGCTTGTAGTGGCGAAGAGAAACCACGATGTACCAACTGCGAACGCCAGGGGGAAACATGCGATTACAGTATTAGACTGAATTGGGGAGGCCGCTCAAAGAAAGACAGAAGGGGTACCGGGTCCGATGCTTCGAGCGCAGCGTCCGGCAGCCCGTATGAGTCGACCTTTACGTTTGAAGATAATGTTTTCTCGTCCAACCCCGAGACATACACGCGGCCACACCATGCGCGATCAAGGTCCCAAATCTCCCCACCCAGGTCGTCGACACAAGCTTTTGATCCAGACTTGACGCGGAATATGCCGCAATCTTCCAACCGCAATGACGCTGCAAACGATGGCCTTTACTTCCAAAGCGACATACTAGCCTCTACACCGTATACTCACGCACAATTTCACGCATCTATCTCAGATGCTACCAACTCCAGTGATATTGGCTTTACTCCCAATGATACTGCGATGCCACCGCCACTCTCAGGTTCAGTAGATCCCATTAGCAAACGCCAGAAGTATGATTTTCCTGCAGATTTGGATACAGGCTCGCCATTACCTTATAGTCCATATCCAGTCATGCCTCTGACACCATTGTCAGTCGGTTCTGAAGGGAACGTTGTGAAGACATCATTGACACCACAAAACTCCGCACAGTCACCGCCCGATTTACGTCGTGTGTCAGTCCAGTCCCTGATCAATGATCTTCCAAAGAAGAGGCCAGGTCCATCCAACGTGGGGGCTGAGCGGGGTCGACAGTATCCAATTGCTGATTCTGCTTTCACGACCTACGGCTATGACCTGGGACTCCCTGACACCGATACTCCGAGGAATAACGACTTTTCGGCTATTGCTATATTCAGTCCACAGAGTGACACAATGGGCTTTGGTGACGACACACCGTATGGTAGTGCAGAGCCCTACGGCAAGGATATGGCCTTCGAGAGTGGAGGATATTACGCAAAGCCGGTTCCGATCAGGATTTCAAAATCTCTTGAGCCGCTACCGCCTTTGCTTATGGAGAATCAGATGAACCTCTTGTACTTCCATCATTTTATCAACCATACAGCGCGTGTCCTTGTAAACCATGACTGCGAGCGAAACCCATTTCGCGAAATCCTACCAGAGAGTAAGTGCGTAGCAATTTCCAAAAATTACCACTGACGTCAGCAGTGGCTGTACAAGACGAGAACATAATGAATCTTCTCCTCGCATACAGTGCGGCACACCGCGCACGTATGCTTAACCATCCAGAGCCTTCAAATCGCATCGCAGTCTGGGTACAAGATGTGTTTCCTAAACTGCGTGAAGCGCTCAACAACGACCCAAAAGCTATATCAGACAGTACTCTAGCAGCAGTCATAATGATGGCAAGTCTGGAGATCATATGTTCGGGTACATTCGAAGTACCCGTATCCTGGCAAAACCATCTAACCATGGCACGCCAAATGATCATCCAGCGCGGTGGACCGAAGGGAATGGGCCGGCATGATCGTGTGGCATACTTCCTTTCCCGGTGGTTCGCATACCTCGACGTTCTCGGCTCATTGAGTGGGAACAAGAACGACACGCCCCTCGGTTCGTCCTATTGGTCCAGTGAAAACGCCTCAGCAGACGAAGACTTCGAAATTGATTGTCTGATGGGCTTTACAATACGTTGCATAGGATCCCTCGCCCGTGTTTCCGAACTAGCGAAGCGTTGTGAACCCCGGCGCATTGACGAAGAAGGCAACGTTAGAGAAGGCTGGAGTCCTAGCCCCGAGGTTGTCGAAGAAGCAGTCAAGATCCGCCAAGCGCTCGAAGAAGGGGTGCTGGATCGCAACATCCGTAAAGGATGTAACCACCGCTCCAGTACTTCGTCCGAATCTGAAGGTGCGTGGGACGCAACCGAGATATATGCGACAAATGAATTGTATCATTGGGCCGGATTGATTCACTTGTATCGTCGTGTTCTAGGTAAGCCGGCCATGGATCACGAAGTTCAGCAAGCGGTTCGAGAGATTGTAGGTCTGTTGTACAAAATTCGGAGGGGAAGTACAGCAGAAGCTTGTTTGATCTTCCCAATGTTTGCTGCTGGATGCGACGCACATGATGAAGGACAGAGAGAGAAGATCCTGGACCGGTTGAGGAATGTAGAGGGCTTTGGACTGAACCATGTAAGTTGTGTGCTGATGATAAGAAGGGTTTCACCCGCTTACTGTGTGTTAGGTGCCCAAGGTCAGTACGCTTATGAGGCGTGTCTGGGATACAGGCAAGCCGTGGGAGTCGCTTGTTTCTGGCGAATTTTTCGGTTGAAGGACTATACGTATGGACAAGTGCCGTATTGTGACCCATGATGAGATTGCTGATGACACGAGTCAGCGTCTCGTTACGTGGAATGCTGGAAGAGAGTCTGTCCCAGAGCTATGTACCGGGCGCTTTTCGAATGGCCGAGCGCTCTGCTTTGAGACGTCATCTACCGGATATCGACATCCCTCCTTCAAAGCCGAGTGCCCATATCAGAGAGAGACAGGCAGTTATGGAGATCGAGGCAATAGGGGTATGACGAAGAACAAGCTTCAAAGGAAGCTGCGCAGAGATTGGACTGATGTGATGTTACAGCAAGAAGACGGCGTAGCTCATGTGCATGTAAAGGAAAGCAGATTAAATGATGAGACGTCGCTGAAGGCGGATGAAATATATCCATAAGGTACTGCTGGGGTATCGTCGGTCCAACTGATATACGTGTAAACCACACCATAATGTACAAGTGCCACTTCGAAATCCCTCAAAACCCCTCACCCAGCACATCGGTATCCACCCATCAGCGACCCCTCACCAAGGCCACCAGCCACCCCGGGCAACCCTGCTCACAGCCCTTGTACCCTTGCCAACCTCATCCACACCTTCTTTGAACTCCTCAGTAACAGCATCAACCGCCTGCCCAAACTCCTCCTTCTCCTTCTCAAAAGCTTCGGCAGCCTGTCCCCACTTCTCTTGCGCAATGAGACGCTGTTTTTCTATTGCCTGCCGAAGCTCCTCCTGCAAATCGCGTATCTCGGCCTTGGTGTCGTGTGTCTCTTCGATAGCTTCGAGTTTATACCAAAGGTAGTACGACAATTGGTATGTGAAGAGGGCGCCGAGGAAGCATTTTAGGAGGGGCGAGCCAAAGGTGCCGTAGTATGCGCCCTGCAACAGATTCGTTAGTTTCGAGGAGCAACAGTGGGTGTTGACGGGTTATTAGGAGTATGACGTACTACCCGCGATGGCTCTTTTGGCGGAGGAGCCGAGTTTGGGTTTGGCGGCGAACTGGGTGGATGAGGCGATGGTGCTTCGGCTGCATATGTTCTTCGTGATGTTCGTCCTATGCTTCTGGGTATCGTCGCGCTTTTACCCCATATCGTCCGTGTTGCTCTGAGGTGATTCATCTTGTCGCAAAGGTAACAGCTTTTATCCCCGCTTCTGAAGCACCTTCGGTCGCTGCTAGAATGAACCCTAGTAGATGGCGAGACTGAGGGTTGAGAGAGCGAAGAAGACGAGTGTGATGGTCCTGCGAATATGCGACACCAGGTATTGCGCTAAGGTTGGTGGAGCGGGGATATGTAGAAGCACCGGTGCGATGGCAATTCAAGAAAGTCGACAGACTAGAAACGGTATAAACCTCCGTTCATTATCTCCGCGCGCGTACCCAGCTAATGCCGGTACCCTAGCGCTGTGCACGGTCCACGCTATGCACTTTCCAAAGGAACACGTTCACCAAACAACTTGAACCCTTATTCCGTTCTCTCTCTCTCTTCTCCGTGCACAAGACACTACACGCTCGCTACCCGCTCTTCAGTTCCCGGAACCGCTTAAACGCCTCATATATCCACCTGGCATACACAAACCAAAATGGTACGGCACCCTCTCGAAACGCATACAACCAAACCCCCTGGTCGCATACAACATGCGGGATACTAACGTAGCCTACAGGCGCAAACACCACAACAACGTCAGGCAAACATGCGTTTCGCCAAGGCGCAAGAGAAGAAGATGGGCCAACCCGTGTCAACAGAGCCTGTAGTGAAGAAGCGGGCACCCCAGAAGAGCCCCATCAGCAGGTTCTGGATCAGTACGTACCCATGGCCCTCAATCGGAATTCCGAGGACTAACATGTTTGTAGTCGTTCTTGCTTTCATACTAGTCGGCGGTCTTCTTTTCGAGGTCCTTAAGCTCTTCTTTTAAAAGGAACGAGTAATGTGATGTAATTCATCACTTATCGAACAGACGAATACAAACTCAGCCTTGACTTATAGTTGGCAATGTCAAGATTTGGAGGCTGGACATACAAGGCACACGAGCGGTGACCACGGCGGGGAGAAGCTTTGAAGAGCTTGGAGGGGTAGCAGGTCTAGAGACCACTTTCTTGCGTCAATTACATAGGGCAACCGGCGTTATAGAGGCAGCATTGCGGTATTGGGAGAGCTTGGAATAGCCGATATCATGGTATTGAGGTTTTGGAATCTTATCTGTTCAGGATCAAGACACATTGCAACGTGCTTGAACTACTGCTCCTCTGGCGCATCTGCACCCTCATCCATGACAACAGTCCGCCTCTTCTTTTTCTTCTTCTTGACTTTGCCTTCTACCCCACCATCGGCTTCGCCTTCAGCTACTTCTTCATCATGTCCTTCAGGCTTGACCTTCTTCTTCTTCTTTTTCTTGACAGGCGTTGCCTTTTCCTCGTCGCCGACTTCCGCCTCTGGTGGTGGCGTCTCAGCTGGATCGTCTCCTTCTACAGCAACCTTCCTAACCTTTCTCTTCTTCTTCTTGACTGCGACCTCTTCTTTGACATGTAACCTCTCACTTGCTCGCTGCATCTCAAGTCGTAATCGCTCAACTTCTTGAAGCGCCTTCTTCATTTCAGCATCCTCTTGGGCCTTCCTCTCAACATCGAGCTGTGTAAGCTTGCGATTCGATGTACCATCGTCGTCAAGGCTTAATGCTGCAAGACCGGAGCTGTCCACATCCAACAATGACTTCTTTGCTTTTCCTGGCTGTGGCTGAACAATATCATCTCTCAAAGCATCTGGAGCTGCAGGTCCAAGCGTCTCATCGCCCATAATATCGACCTTTCGCACCGGCTTGCGCGGACTCCGAGAACGTGGCAGATGTTCAGAAGATGATCCTTTACTATCGAGGTTGAGCTCCATAATCGGGATCGAATCGATGTCCAACTCGTTGTTCTCTCTATTGTCATCCCGGACAATTCTACTAAGTGGTGTGACTGCTCCGCTGCCTTTGTCCGCTTCGGGATCGATATAGAATGGATCGTCTTTGTAGCGTTCTTTCTTCTCTGCTTTCCGACGCGCAATAATGTCAGCATCCAGGTACTCATCCTCGGTTGCGTTCTGGTATGATGTCGGTTCTTTATGCGGGGCATCAAGACGGTCTGCAGCCGGTGCAGCAACTGTAGGAGCTTCCGCGTATGCTGTTGGTGGCTCCGAGTAGGCTGCATAGACATCATCTTCCTCTGTCTCAAACCCTTCTGTGTCGGCTGTGTAGAGCAGATGCTGGAGATTGGAGTTGATTGGTGTGTCGAGATCGAGGTCTTCGGGCAACGGAACCTTGCGTTGAGCACCAGGAGCGACCGGGTTCAGCTCAGCACCAGAGAACAGCGCAGGTATAGCTTGTGTAAGTAATAGGGGTGGATCGGTAAACGTGTCCTGATCAGCGCTGGCAGCAGTTCCAGATGCAGCTTCTGCAGCGAGACGCATGAGTTCGAGGTACTCAACCGCTCGTTCTTGGACTTCTAGACTGGGATGTGTAGAGAGTGGCTCCAGGAAATGGATGATTCGAGCCATGAGTAGGGACATTAATGTTTTGCGCTCCGGAGTCCATGACACCTGATCATTTCCAGCCATGCTAGAGAAGACCTTAGGTATTGCTTGTAAGTACACAGCAAGGGTTCTCGAAGATAGTTGAAGAGAAGAGGGGTGTAGTAGGGACGTCATAACCGGCTCTGGGCGAGTAAGATAGTTGGCGTACTCTCCCACAAGCCAACCAGCGTATTCCAGTACACCTTGACCACCATTGCCAGATGCTGGGAACATTTGATCTCTTCGATCAACAAGCACGAGCGACTGTGCGGCATCTATAGCTTCCGATCGGACGCTCTTTACCCGTATAGCAACATTCTGTAACTCATGTCCAATGCCGCCACCAATGTCATCTGAATGTTCTACTTCTTCCTCCTCTTCCATAACTGAAGATGCTTTTGTTGCCGGCGATACCCTGACAAGCTGAGTAAGGACGTCAATGTACCATTCAAAGTCGCTAATGTTGCTGTAAGTGTCGCGTGAGCACATGTCTAATATTCTCTTGATGACGCTGATGCGGTAATCATCTGGCAGCGGCGGCGGTTGGTCGGATTTCTGTTCGTGCTGCGGCAGGGTCTCTTCTGCGTCAGAATCATCATCACCGTAGGGCGTTATGCCAGTAAGTCTGGCCCGGTCATTGTTAGGATCACTTGCCGCTGTCGCAATGGGTGCATTCCGAAGTTGTCGCATTAATCGACCCACGATGGCTGTGAGATTGTCTGGATTGACCATACCGACCACCAAATCCAGAGCACGCATTCGTATCGAGATGTCTAGATCGTCGATGCATTCGAGGATGACATCTTGCTGCTGAGAAACCAAGTATGGATGTGATTTGACGATCTTTTCGAAGGCGAGTAATGCGACATATTTTACTGCAGATTGATGAGAAGCGGAACGTTGGAGAACAGTGTACATTAGCTTACGGTTTGCATCTCCTTCTATTACCATCATGCCTCGTAGTTTGCCGACACATAGCTTTGCTACCTCGTCGCCTTCTGCGGTACCTTCTACGGCTTCCAGAATGCCACCCTGAATGATACCACTGATACATTCATAAAGCAACGACATAGCAGACGTCTCCCGTATAATCTTGGTTAACGGAGGTAGCAGTTTCTTGATAAGTCGAGGTTCCAACGGAGTCAATGTGGCGAACTAAGTTTGGTTAGTTGCAGCCCTTCTTAGAATGACCTCAAGACTTACAAGTTTGATGAGCTTGATAGCCATCCAGTTATTTCCCCCTTCTACTAGGAGATCAAACAATCTTGGTGCGAGTGGTAGGAAGTCTTGGGGTCTCCTCCATCCCAGCTCGCAGACGACGTTTACGATTGCCGCTGTGACGCTCGCATCCTCGTTGTCATCTAGCAAGCGCTCCTTGATCTTGGGCCACGCAGGTCGTAGCGTCTCGGGATACACAAGAGCCAGCCGGTATAGTGTCACGACCGTCTTCTTGCGGACCATTGCGTGCGAGTGCGTCAATCGTGGTATCAAGTCGGAGAGAACCGAATTGGCCATGCTCGGGTTTATGACGTGCGGGATGGCTCCGAGCGGGAGCGCGATATATTGTGGACTCGAACTCATGATGTCCTTTTTGAGTTGGTTCTCTGCGAGCACCAGGACCTCGGTATCCCGTCGAAAGCTTTGTACTGCAGCCAAGTATCCTGTGCGCTTCTGCTTGAACTTGGAGCTTGACATGACTTCGAGGACGTTGAAGCTAGCCCAGGACATGTCGTGGCCGAACATCTCGAGATAAGTGAGCTTCATGAGTGCCGTGGCCTTGAGGTCCATGTCGTTGGTCCTTATTTCCTTGCGACATTCTTTTATGCTCTCGGCGATGTATTCGCGTTCGCTGCCCTTGTGGTTTCGGAGGCCCCGAATGAGGTCGAAGAGGGATTTCTCAAACCTGCAAGGAGGTCAGTCACTGGTTGATGCAAGCCCAGGAGCGTGGGGTGAGGTATACATGTTGGATGTCGCTCAGGCAGCGTCGCGCAGTCGTGTGTCTGGGTAGGGAAGCGCGCGTGGAGGGGTAGACGGGCGGCGTGAGGGTGAAGGTGGTGGGCCACTAGGCATCGTCATTGGGATGCAGTCGTCATGGAGCAGGCGTGTAGCGACGTGGAATCGGGTTGCATGCACTGGTCCGCAGCGAAAGCGAAAGCTACGAGTGTCAACAAGGTTGACGTGCACTTGGTCGATTCCAGATGGGGTCGAGACTACCGAACGCCCGCTAGTTTCGCCGGCGGAAGCTTGGGACAACATCCCCAACGGCTTACCTAACTCCACATGCTTCTCCAGACACTCTGTCGCCATTGACACGCACTCCACACCCGTCCGCGACGCAAACAATCGCCAACATGACACAAGCCAACCTTCTCTCTCCACCCGCACAAATACCGCCGCCCACCGCCCTTGCGCTGTCCCAAAAGGCCCCTCTCGTCCTCTCTACAACACCAACGTCGAACCTCCCATGGCCCCTCTCGCTCCTCTTCTCGCGCGAGACACCCGAGACATGGACCATCCACGAGAACCTCTTCCTCTCCACACTCCGCACCGGCGACGAGAATGCCGCCCTATCAATTCTGCAGCGGCTGGAAGCCCGATTCGGCGACCACAACGAGCGCATCGTTACACTGCGCGGCATCTATAACGAGGCCACGTCCAAGTCAGATGCTGATCTGGAAAAGGTCTTTGAGGCCTATGAAAAGATCCTCCGAGACGACCCCACCAACATGAGTATCAGGAAGAGGAGGGTGGCTGTGCTCAAGGCGCTGGGCAGGACAGGCGATGCCATTACAGCTGTCACAGTGCTGTTGCAGTACAGCCCAACGGATGCTGAGGCATGGGCTGAGGCGAGCGACCTCTATGCAAGCCAGGCAGCTTGGGGGCAAGCCATATACTGCGCCGAAGAAGTTCTGCTCATCACACCCAACGCATGGAGTGTGAGTACCGCGCTGCCCCGACCATGATGATTGTATACTAATCAACATTCAGGCACACGCACACATTGCCACACTACACTATCTCTCTACAGCCTCCAACAACCCACCCAGCCTCACCTCTCTCGCCCTATCGCTGAAGCACTTCTGCCGCTCCGTCGAGCTCAACGACGGTTACCTACGTGGCTACTACGGTCTCAAGCTCCTCACCTCGAAACTCAACAATGCACTCTCCGACTCGACATCCAAACGCAACGCACAAGAAGACGACGACATCCCCGTCCCGAATGCCCAAACCGTAAACAAGTTAGAAGAGATTGCTACAAACAAACTCGCCGAGATTATAAGACTATACAAGTCAGGAAAGAAGGCATGGCAAGGCTACGACGAGGCGGAAATTATTGCTGCGCGGGAGCTGCTGGACAGGGACGGCAAGGCTGAGCGATGAACAATCTCTCTACGGCAAGTGACTGTAGGTCATGACATGGCGGCGTTTTGGGCGTCTCTGGTGTAGACACATGGAGGCATATCTGGACAAATGTCCAGTACAGTCGCTAGATACCATTCCAAGTGACTTATTAATCATAAATCTTCAATCATCATAATGCAAACACCAAGAAAGTTGTGCCTTGCACAGAGTTGATAGGTTGGAGTGAAGATTCCAATGCACATGTTTGTAAAGGGTATATATGTATCCATATTATTATTACAAGAGGATCTAATCCTCTCATTGCCGTTCCCATCCCCATCCCCATCCCCGTGCCGTCTGTTCCGTTCCAGCGTCAACCCCAGAGCACAACACCGAACCCTTTCATGCAAGAAACAAAAATAGATAGATCGTTCGCAATCTACCCCAAGCCACAAATGCCATGATGTGGGTATATCTCCCGATCGATGCAAGATAATGTCCAAGGTAGCCGAGACGAGAAGAAACAAGGGACAAGAAGAAAGTATGAGCGCGCCTAGAGTTGTAACATGTATGCTTTCCCTTATCGAACAACGCAGATAGTACTCTCTTGGCTTTCGCCAAAATAAACAAGAAAACGCCGCCGGTAGATGCAAAAAAGAGAATACAAGAATTTCGGCCATCGGCCACTTAAATCGCTTCCATATGTCTTCAAGGAAATTGGTGGGGGAATGAGAAATTATCGGGACTCGTTTCTTCTTTCTTTTCCCTTGAACCATGAGATCCGTATCACGGCGTTTCTAAGTAATGCGCTTGTTGTTGCCATGAGAGAAAAAGTTTGCGTATGCGTCTTATGAGCGTTGCGAATGTGCGTGACAACATCTAGATGTTGAGACCGCGAGTAAGGTCTTCAAGGCCTGAGCTGGTGTTCTCCTTGCCCTTCGACCTGTTTTTGCGTGCTGCCATCTTGCCCCAGTCTTCGTCAGCGTCGTCTGTCTGGGGAGCATTCATCTGCGGTCCTGGACTGCCCTTCTTCAGGATACCCTTGATGGTGCCGGTCCGGTTCTGGTTGGCGCCGCCCGAGGCTTGAAGCGTCATGGACGTTCCGTTGGATACGGCATCGGACTGGTTGACGACGGGACGGTACCTAGCGGACAACCCAATGTTAGAACGCTCGGATGGTGCGATGGAGGGAGTGTACCCTGGATGCGGGCCCATGAACGACATGGAGCGCTGCTGTTGCTGGTTTCCATTGGGCGACATAAATGACATTGGTCGATTTTGACCATTTGGTACGTTTAGGAAGCCTGCACCGCCCATTGTACTGCCCATAGTACTGCCTGCGTAACCGTTGTTGGGCATTGCCATTGACATCCTTGGGTCTTGTTGGGGTTGCTGCTGCATCATCTGCAGTTGCATTTGCTGCATGGCGATCATCTGCTGCATTTGTTGCATCTGCTGCATGTACTCGTTCCCTTGCTGCATTGGATACCCCATCTGACCCATGCCCATGCCCATACCCTGCATCGGCATTTGTCCACCCATCATAGGGTTCATCATGGGGTTCATGCCGCCCATGCCATTCATCATGGGCATTTGAGACATTCGCGTCGAGTTCTGAAGTTGGCCGTTCGCGTTCATTTGTTGGCCGAGAACACCAGTGAAAGGCCCACCTTGGGGCTTCTTTGCTGAAGCACCACCCATGTACTTCTGTTTGGACATATCCCGCATCTGAATCTGGTCCACGAGCGAGGGCTGCGACAGACCAGCATCTTGGTACATCATGTTAGGACCCATACCCATGTCCCCAGCAACAGAACCGCCTGCGACTGATCCAGGGCCACGCGCGAAACCATTGAAGCCCATAGACTCACGGTTTGTTGGCCGAACCAAACCTCCTCCAATGAAGGAATTGTACGGGTCTTGAGGCAAATGTCTCGCAAAGGCTGGTAGATTTGCTTGGGAAACGCCGCGTTGGCTCATAGCACCCGCAGAGGCTGGGCGATCGGGTATATACGAGGGCATGGAGTTTGTTGGCTGGCTGGGAAACCTGTTACGGGTCTGACTTGGAAAGCCATGTTGAGCGAGAATACCCAGCGGTACATCCTCGTCTTCCCATTCTTCGGCTTTCATCGACGTTTCCGATGGGAAGCCCATGTGATCTACTCCCGGATCTGTGGGAGCGCCAGGGGCTGTGGTCGAGCGTCGCATAGCTTCCCGGGCAAAGTGCATTTGCTGATTCTTACGCCTCATCAGTTCCTCTTCCTCTCGTCTTTTGATAGCGTCCTCCTCGTCTTCATAGTCTTCGTCGTCAGAGCTTTCCTCTGGTGGTGGCTGGTTCATCTGTCTCTTCTGGTACTCCCTGAACTCAGCTTGTGACATCACACGCCTTCCATCCGCTGTAGTAATAGTAGTAGCCGGTGCAGTTTTGCCGTTGGAGGGCAGGGCTGCAGACTTCTTCGCTATCGGGATTTCCTGCTTGGGGGCAGGCTTCGAGGGTGCGAACAGGTCATCTTCTTCGGCATCGTTGTAGGGAGAGGCGCCCGGTGCGAGAGAAGCTTTTGGTGTTGTGTTTGTGGTGGTGCTCGTAGCCGTGGCCGATCGAGAGGAATAGGGGGTCTGATAGGAGTTGGCAGACGACGAAGAGGTGGAGTTGGGTTGTTGTTCGGGTGAGCTTTCACGGTACGACTTTCTATCTGTGTATGATTTGCGAACAAATTGAGCATCGGTGTCTTCGAAGGTAGATGATGGGTGGAAGGTAGGGCTTTCTGACGCGACCGGCGCATACGAGGAGTACTTGTGGGGAGGAGGCGGCGGCGGCGGCGAGTCATTGTCTGAATTTGGAGAAGCCATAAGGTTGTCGGCTGAGTTGCGGCTGTCCCAGCTCTTCAACGGCGCTTCGATGCCAGATGGTGGTGGTATCTTAATAGGTTCGGCCTGGAACGTGCGCTTTTCCGAAAGGAGTGAGCGTCCCGCAGTCTCTCGTGGTATTTCGGGAGATTCTTTGCGGCTTAAATGGCTGAACATGTCGTCTTCAAAGCCGCCGAAGTTTAGATCCCCTTCGAGTTTCGGCGGAACTGCTGTGCTCGCGTAGCTCGATGTGGTCATAGCCCGATTTCTACCACTCCACCCTGACCCTGACAGATCCTTGTATGATGACACGCCAGAGCTTGACTTGGGTAGCGAGGGTAAGTTCTTGCGGAAGGCGTTTACCGAAGAAGGGGCAGGGGAGCTGTTGTGTTGAGAAACCGTCGGTCGGGGTATATTAGTGAAAAGGTTGTCGTCGGAGCTGGTGTCCGTGGAAGAAGGAAGTGTAGAGGTCGAGCCATGCTGGCCATTGGCGTAGGGTCTCGAATTGGAAAATTGAGTCCCACTGCTTGACTTGCTGTCGCTAATTAAAGGGTCAGTCCGGCCGACGCTATGACTAGCGGATACGAAGCTTACCGTTTTGAAGATCCTGGAGACTCATCGTCTACGGACTGGTTGCGGTTCTTGCTGCCAGCACCGCCAAAGCCGCTGAAGCGCGGGAACTTTGACGACCTGTCTTTTTCCTGTGTCTTGCGCTGCTCTTTTGCCTTTTCTACTTCCGTCTTGCTCAGCACCCGGAAGCCACCAGAATCAGCAGCGGGCGCCGTTATGGTCTCGGGACTTGTTGCGATATCGACCTCTTCGAATGCATTGCCTTGAGACTTGCGGCGAGCGGTGAATATCCCTAAGCCTGGCTTGCCCATGTTGCTAGATTTATTTGTTTTTTTCCCTCCGGTGAAGCAGCGACCAATGCCTCGAGCGGCCTATTCTGATACGATTGGCAGTATCATGTACACCAAGACGTGCGATGCGCGACGGTCGTGGTCGAGGAAGGAGCGATGGGGCAGTCACAAAGAAGCCAAACGTGTTACGGACAGACAAGGAATGGATGGGGCAGTCTAGATGTCAGGAATTAGCTCTGTTATACGTGCAAGTGGCGGTGCAGCGTGTTGGTGTTGTGGTGTCGAGAGATGATGTGAGCGGGCGCGGCGAGTGTCGCTGCGAGAGCTGAGTCGGGAGTGTCGTTGATGGGCAACTTCGTATTACCGCGTTTCAACGTCAGGGCCGTGTCGATCTAGCCGCGTATTGATTTTATTATGCGCTTCGAGTGATCCTCGGCCAATACACAGGTGGCAGGAAATCTTGTCGTGGCAACCTGCGCCTCTGTCTTTTTTCCAGCGCATCGCCTGGTCCACTTGCTGATGTCGAGTGCGGCGTCGTTCGATCCTTCCGAGGCACAGGACGGGGGTGGGTTGGGTGTGCGACTTACCAGACACGAGGCGGGTAGCAGCAGCAGCGGCACCTGTTCAACGAGCGACAATGTCTAATTGCAGACAGCGGAGACAGCGATGATGTAGTTTGCGTGCACGCGCGGAGAAAACGGCTGGATGATGAACGAGTATAAGGGCGCGCACGGATGGCACAAAGCCACAGTAAGGAGTGCGCCGTCCGATCATCTTCACTCAACTGCCCTCTCGCTCGGCCGGGCCTGCATCCACCTAGGTACCGAACCAATGGCATCCTCCCGCAGTGGGCATAGCGTGATTTAGAACGGCCATTAACTGCCTTGTTGGGTTTTGCCATGTATAATCTAGTCTTGACAGCCATCGAAGTTTGTTAATGGCGCAATCATCTCTGGTACAGCTTATGCTGTCTTCTACGTCGCTGCCACGATTCCGTGCAGCTTCAGACGTATGCCCTACAGATTGAACCCAAGGCCGCAAACTGCTGGTCGAGGGTTGGTACAGTAGTGTAGCCTCTTAGTCCGATCATCATCCATGTCCGGTACCCTCATGCCAAAATTAGACCGCTAGGCTAAGAGAACTCATCAACGATGGTCTCTCCAGGGACGCACGCTCTCTGTTCGCTACCTGATAACAATGACTGATCGACGGTATTGACGCGCACCCAGTTCGACGTCATCGTCATTCTTGCATGTCCTTCTCGCTGTGCCTGATGTTTCGGCCTTGGACACAGGAGACTCTTCGTATTACACTGCTCCACAGCATAACGGACCCTCACGGTCCATGCCCGCGGTCGGCGCGATACCGTCAAGCCAAAATTATGGGTAGCCCGTATCTGCCTAGCGGCTGCACTCTGTAGACACCGTGGAAGCTTGAATGGCTATGGGTCGAGCCACACCAGGGCTGTCGTTGCTTGTGATTTTTGCAAGCCGGGGTACGTGGTTCTCCATTCAGCCTGGAGACTCCGAGATGACACTCCTGCGAGACGCTTCGCCGCCTGGGCACTCCTCTTGCTCGTGCCTAACATGCAGCCGCCTGCATATTCGCTACCCGGTGCGAAAACATCGCCCAAGCCCGGTGCACTTGTCGCAATCCCTGCTAGATACCCGTCTTAATAACGTCTAGCTAAGAGAAGAAAGCCTGTTTAGACTTCAAAGTCGCCTCGCGGATAGGTTGTTGGGCGCACAAATTGCTTTGGATGATTTTGCTCCCAGATCGATTTCAGGAGGCTGTCGGTGGCTTGCCAATGCTGCCATCCTGAAAGCACAGACACTGCCCCGGGCAGGCCGCTACTAGGTATTTCTCCTTATGGCTACACGCATGCAAGCCAATACCAACCTCGCTGATCTGAAGCAAAGCATCAGTTCGTGACTGTGACTTCCCTCGACCGCTATTTGAGGAACGTCATGATTTTCTGTACATCGTGATCGTTTCGCAAAGCAAAGCATTCCGACCTGCTTCCGGCACCTGCAACATGCGTTGTCGAAAGAGTGTTCTTGTTCTACAATGTGCTGCGCTTCTGCAGTTGCATGAGCTGAACGCGGCTCGCCAGCCTCCCGGGCGCTTGCTGTTGGCTACAACTTGAAGTAGTGTTCGATGCAGCGCTGCAGCATTACTGCGGGACATGACGCCGTCTCTATTAGCTCTCCCGCCCCTCATTAATTCCAACCTCTCGTCTGCCTCAATCCTAACGTTCTGTTCACCCCGCCTGCGAACGCGTAATCGTGTACGGGAGATCTGGGGGTTGGCCAGCTAGCCTCACCCTACGTGCGTCTCAACACATGGCAGGCGTTCGATCGATCCGCGCTCGGCTCCTGGAGATCAGCCGAACCAAATTGGTTGGCATTCGCTTACATCGCAACACTTTCCAGCTGATAACAATGCTTTTCAGTCGCTACACAGAGCGTTCATTGTTCGGTCCTTTGCGTTTGGACTTACGTGGTCAGTCGCAACCAGAGCCAGTCGGCTTTTCAATTTCGCTTCATTCACTCTACTATCACAGTTCCTTGTCTTAAAATCCTCAACGCCAAGGCCCAGCAACAGGACTTTGGAAGGTGCAAAGAAAGAATTTCGGCGAGACCGTTGCAGGAGCACGATTCTTGATATTCTCCTACTATGAGCGCGTCATCTCTGCAGCGACCTTCGGACATTTTGCTTCTTTGCTGCCGGCTATGCTAAACTTGCTTTATCCTCGGTTTCTGGCCTGCCACTATCCACATGAGACCATATGAGTATAGGGATACTATGCCCATGCAATTGGTGTTTCTTCGTCCGGCTGTAGTGCTTGAAAACTTTGTATATCCGAGCTAGGATTATGGTCGCATCAGACAATGTTTGTGAAAGCTGCTGTCAGCATGTTAGGAAACAGACAACACGCTTTTGCGTTTTGCTCTGATGGCTCACACACTGCGCCCCGTGTCGGTGCCACTTTGACGGCATCTGTAGTAAGGTGGTTTTGACGCAGGGTAATGCTAGGACTTCAGTCGCCGTGATGTCAATCGAGATCAACAGGAAGGCCCAAGTTTCCTATACACGCGTAGGTCATAGTCGTCGAGGAAGAGCACAGGAAGCATAAGAGAACACCATGTCTAGTGAAGTGGCCGTCAAAAAGAAAGAGGTACGCTACCACAGAATACAGTTTCTCAAATGCTCTCAAACAGGAAGCCCCGGACTCACCGAGGCACGTGGACGGTCAATAGGGGTCCAATGACGCAACTGTGCAAACGGAAAGAACGCTCATTCCACCCTCAACATTTGCTTCCGGCACGGGACCCGCTCTTCTCGCCCACAATTGCTTCTCCCTCACCTGCTAGCCGAATCCCCACTTTCCCGAACTATTTGACGACTTTCTCCCTACATCGGCGGCAGTACTAGCAATCAGATGTCAGAAGATCCGTACGAAAAAAACAATGTCACCCCAACCCCCGCACGCCATGCCCATTGACTTTCTCGAGCTTCTGCTTGGGACTCGGCAAGCAGGTGTGTCATGCTCTGCGGAAACATATGCCTTGTATCAGGGGGTCTGGTGACAATGACTATGATGTCAAAGAATGGCATCCCGTGGACACCTACAGGAGCTACAGGCAGAACTGCACTAATGGAGTCACCGTATTGCCCTCATTCTCTTAGAAGACGTCGCAGAGTTCCAACTCATTGGTTGTTGGCTGACAAAACCAAACCACGACTGCGGGCTTAAGCTTAAATATAATCTGGCACTAATTTGCCCTCACGAGGCTCGTCATGTTGTCTCCGTTCCGACTTCGGCACCGTACCGACAGGTCCCAAGAAATCCACGCTGTGTCTTCATATCCCAGCTCCCAGCTTGGTAGGTCTACCAAACAGTCTTGTGTAGGCGCAATCAGAAGACTAAGCATTTCAGTCACGGGTGCTTTCACAGATTCGACCACCAGAGAGGATGGAAACGAGAAGACTATCACCTTTCATCGTCTCTCTAGCTCAACTTCAGCAAGCTAGTCGCAAGGTTTGTCAGCCATCTGAAAAAAGGCAATTATGCGGGGATATATGCTATGCGGAAATATATGCTGTGCGTGAGCGGGTTATCTTCATTACGGCCTTATATCCCTTTGACATACCAATTGCCGCTGAAGTATCACATGGTAGATGGACCCCATTTGATCGACAACTTCCCCACCTAATGAAATTACGATATAGAAGAATTCCGCACATCTCCTCTTCATACAATCTGGAAAATGTGTGTATATTATGTTGATGCATGGATCATTAACTGCCGAACTTGGGCGTATTAATATCTTTCATAAGTCCTATTGGCTGAAGAGAAGGCCCCATCCTATACGGTGATAGCATTGGGCTTTTGGCGATAATGATAACATGCTTGAGTCCTCCGTTCTAAGTTGGTCGAGAAAGAACTGTCTCACGTTCATGTCTGTCACCCGCGAGGATGCCTAACTTCATCATCGCCATTATCAGCGCTCTGGCAATACAAACATACGCAGCATGCACGCGCGAAGTCCTCAAAGCAGTGACTGATGAGCTCTTCGCTGCCCAAACCGCCGGACAGACGAATTTTAGCTCTCTGTCAAGTACCGTCGCATATACGGAGAACCGCAAGAGTGTTGATATCAAGACCGGCATCCTCTCCAAATCCATGAAAATTGATCATGCTCGATCCCAACACGACACTACTCAATGTGCCACCTTCAGCGAATTCGTTATCACCGATACCGCTGCACCCTATGTGATCGCAACGCAACTACGACTCGACAACTCCACCAAAGTCTCGCAAATCGACACAATCTGGACGAGCAAGGGAGACTGGCTCTTCAACGTCACGGGAACATACTATTGGGCTACTCACGAGAAATGGGACGCCATCCCTGCTGAGAAACGTGACTCCCGTGCTGTCATTAAAGCAGCAGGAGACGCTTACGCCGACCTGTTCAACAACAAAAGCGTCAAGGTACCGTGGGGCTCGCCATGCGCGCGTCTGGAAGGCGGTGCGTATACGGGTAAGGGTGAGGCGACAGACAGGTGTGATGTTGGTGTGCCTAGTGGCGTGCCGCTGGTTAATAGGCAATATGTTATCGACGAGGAGTATGGCACTGTTGATATCATCATGGATTTTGGAGGCGTTCAAGGTCAGGTTGGGGCTGATGGATTGCCGGACAGTCACGAGTTTAGGGTTGAGGGAGGGAAGTTGAGATACGTGCATACGCTATCGAGTTGTGGGGGGAAGGCGTGTATGTAGTTTTTCTTGCCCTTAATGGTGAGGTTGCAAAATGACATGAAGGCTTGAGGTTATGAGAAAAACAGACGTCATTTCGTAGGAAATAGAAGATTTCAGTTTGATCTAAACTTTTCCCCCAGAGAGTTATGGTTTTTGTGGCATAGAATATTGTCAGGTTAAAGGACTTACGAGAAATAGTTGGATGTCTAATGCAGGGCTCACTTCTCGATCGGGCTTACTACACTTCGCCATCGTCATCGTCTCCACTCTGAACGGGTCCTCAATCTCCGTACCACATCTCCATGTCGCCGTTGGCCCCATACCGTGCCTCCGAACAACCTCTTACATCCAAGTAATCCACCCATTCATCATTCTCCACAGCTAGTGCTCTAGGAATCCTCTTGAAGATGCCGGAACCATTCCCGTCGAATCCAACGGGAAATGATCTCTGTACTTGAGACGTCTCAGTTTCGTCACCCGTGGGATGGACATCGACTGGTTTCCTGACCGATGTAGCGTGTGGCACGTCTGTCATATTGACATTCCCGGCCTCATCGGTAGAGAAGGAGTTGTGTATAATGGCGTTTTGGCAGGCATATCTCTGGGTAACATGAACAGGCCTGGTGTAATCTTGTAGACGCCACGTTTTGCATCTAGACGTCTGCGTGAAAGCCCACACCAAAATCTCCGGCTGAGTTTGTATTGCGAGCTCGCAGACGCCTATCAGTCTTCCGATTTCCGTGCCACTAATAGACAGAGGCCATATTGAACTGTTGTTCTCAACCTCATGTTGAGTCGATGGTTCGCAGGATAGTGGCTCATCCCACTAGTTGAGCCAATGATCCCTCTGGTGCCTCAATGTTAGGTTCGTAGAGGCAGTGTAAGACTCCCAGCTCTTAACATTTTGCTCCATCTGTGATAGTTGAATGACATCCGGGGGAACGCTATACAACACGAGGGTTTCGCCGTAAGTCACAACGACGCGAACACCCTGAGACAAGTCCGCAGCCGCGATGTACAGCCTTGGTACCATATACTTTTCCGGTGGGATGAATGTGATCTTGCGAAGGAGTTTCGTGGGTCCACTAAGCGGTGCGTCGCAGCCTAATGTTAGTAGGCCATTGGCTGGGTCAATGAACAGAATGTGATATCCGTCGCTCAAGGGAACAGCATGATAGTGATCGCAGTTCGGCGATCCTGGTTGGTTCGACGCAGATTCAAACCCAAATGAACCCCAGAAAGCGCTCATAGTAGGGCGACCAAAGAATTTACGGCTAATGGCGGGCCGGTCTTCTGGATGAGCTGCACTAGATATGAGACGCAGCTTCTTGGCCGATTCAAAGCCTGGTCTTGGTGAAAGAAAGTACAGGTGGTCGCCTGCTGGGTGTTAGTCACGTAGCAGACACAAGGAATGTGTACTAACTCGGTGCTGTGAGCGGAAACTAACGACTCAGGCTTTGACCTGTGAGCGCATCTATCCAATGCAACTCGATGCCTGCAGAACAGCCGAAGGCGACACAGCGACGTTGTGGGCATATCGAGATACTGCGTGGCGGATCGTCTTCAGCGCACAGGTGGCGATAAATCGTTGTTGTCCCGGTTTCAACAGGAACACTATGAAGGCATGAGCGAGAAATACAATTTGCCTGGGCTGTGTGATTTCGCGAGGGCCCGAACAGGATGAGGTTCCATGCGTGGTTGATGAAGTGTTGATCGTATGTCCGACAATCATTGGTGTTATGGAGATTGATGTGCTCGTTGTTCGACCTTACGCTAATCGTGTCAAAGCTTGCAGGATCTCTCTCTTGGACGAACGGACGATGCATACGAGCTATGCTGCGTCCTTGAAGATTCATACCGGTCTCATAGTCGTTGACACAGCTGGTCTGGATAGATGCTGATGCGGTGCCCTTCTCTTGGCCATCAACGTCAACGTGAACCTCAACAGGATCGTTGCCTCTAATTGTGCGACCATAATGGAGCTCGCAAACTAGACCCATGCGTCCTTCGAGGAGGGCCGCGATTGCGTGTCGGCCAGAAGAGACGTCCATGCTTACCTCGAGGACCCTTCTTGGACAGATGACACTCGTGATAGGGACAGGAACGCCATTATCTAGGTCGTAGATGTAGATTAGAGTCTCTCGTGCTACGCACACGAATCTGCTGCAGAGACTTGTGGCAAATACCAAACCACCTGCATGTCCGTTGGCTAGCTCAGAAAAGTCGACTTCGGATCTTTCTGTAATGGCGACTCTGGTGTCCAGTCCGTTCCCGGTCCACCCAGATGACAATGCACACTGCCGAGAAAGGTGCCGACTGAGTAACCATTCCTTGCTTTGCGAAACAGTGTCTGCGATGGGATGAGAAGAAACACTGCGGGCTCTACAGTTGGTATCCTCAGCGCCACTCAGCCAGCCACCTCTTCTTAGCATCGTAGTCAGCAGTTTCTTATCAAGACTTGCCCGCATCCAGTGCTGACAAGTATGGCGTACGGCATTGAAGTCCTTTGGACTAAGGTAATCGTATACGTAGTGAAGTATTTCCACCGGAAGGTGGTACGAGCTCGGAAACGTCGGTGGTGCTGCAACGCCTAAAGCGAGGTACCAGGCACGATTTGTCAGGCGTAACGCGCTCCAAGTAGCCGTATCCAGATATGGCGAGAGGAGTGCAGCAAAAGTACACACGGGAGAAGTGGGATTATTTCTGACGGATTGAAGACGATTGCGAACGACGTGCTCTTGTGTGTCACTAAAGACTGATGAGCTATCCTCGAGTGTAACGATTGAAGAGCTTTCATCCCTCTCTGTCGGCGTGCGAACGCCAAGCAGAACGTCATTTACAGTGCGGGTAATGCCTTCGTCGACACCAGGCTCCAATATTGCATCCTCAGTAACACTGCTACTGTCGAGCATTGAAAAAGAGTCAGTTCGTGCCCGACGTATTAGTTGTACATCGCTATTTGTCTCCGCGAGACTTGGAAGGCGGGACAGCGAGTCGCTATGAGATCCTGCAGACCGGAGACTTGGTCCACTGAACATGAAGGCAGTAGGTGAGATGACATCCAGGCTAGGTACTGAACCATATAGGGAGGACCCCGGCCTAGAACCAAAGCTGGATGTCCGCGATCTTGCCTTGGGAAGATCTGCGACTACGTTACGATCGTGGGCACCACCGAAGAAGGATGTGATGTATCTGTGAAAAGCAACACGTGGTCTGGACTGTAGCCGAGACACGAGGGCAGTGTTGGGACAATCGGCTTTGGCGACACGAGGCATGTTCTTATGGTTGTGAGGATCGCGACTTCTTGAAGGTCGAGGAAAGACATGGCGGAGAACTTCGGAGCGTCTTGGAGCTGGTGGCTGCACGTCACTTGTAGTATTCGAGGAGTCTTCGTGCTGTGAAATTGTTGGTGATTGGCTTGATCCACCCAACAGTGGAGTCTTCTTCGCGTGGTCCTGCGTGTGGGACATTCTTTCGTGGCAAGTACGGGACGGAGTGAGAGACAGTCGTTGCGTGGTCGAAGATTCGACGAATGAGGCCACCTGGATGTCAAGAATAGGAAGCGCTGGCTCAGACTTGGTTCCGGCTACCCCACGCGATAGGTATATTTGGGAAGACGTGGTTGAAGCACCCCCAAGGTGGAGGTGCACCGCCGGTCTGAGGTAAGTTACCGCTGAGGCTGGTCGGACAGGAAGTGAGACAGACACTAGCTATGTCGAGAACACTACCGCCTTGGTGTGACAAAAGAATACGAAAAGTAGTATGGATAAGATGTCCCACAAGGTTTGGGTGGTTGTGGTGAGTGAGTAAAGAATGTGAGGTGTCAGTGTTGTAGGCTCATAACTAAATTCATTGCGATGGTGGGTATCAACGAACACAAATCAAGAAAGAGCGACAAAGAGTACAAGAAGGCCAGACTGTGGACCGTATACAAGAAGGTGCAATCGTAACCTTGCTGAGGAAAGTCCGCTTGGGCTACTCCCAGCTGCCGTTGGCACCGTTGGCACCGTTAGCATCATTAGATCCAGATCCATGTGATCCGTTTTGAGGTCTACCATGTCTGTTCAGTAGCCATACATCATCCAGACTAGACATCGTTGGGTCAGTGAAAGCCGCACAGGATTGGGTAAGATATACATACGGCATAATGAGACTAGGGTTCTCGAAGCGCAGGCCCCGTTCTCGGGCCTCGTCTACTGTAAGTCTACCCACAGTTCTCCGTCCAGCCTGACCATACGCAACAGCTTCTTCCTGAACGTCGCGTCCAAGATCCGATTGTTCTGGACTCCGCAAGCTTCTCAGGGCGATGAATTTCATCAGTGGTCGATAAGTGCGCGCAAATACAACAAGGAACCATAGAGTACAAACGACCAGCGGCGCTACCATAACGGCCCGCTTGAACGCCTTCTTGAGAGCCAATTGGCCAGCGACAGTAACTTGGAACAGTACGACACCAACAATGACGCGGTCACACATCATCGTCCAACCCTTGCCAGTTGAGTGCTGACGGTGTTCCATGGCATACAAGAGTTGATACTTGTGAACGAAGTGGCCGATCATGAAATAGGCCACACCGACAAGCAGAACTTGCCATGAGTCTCTCAACACACTGTAGACCATGCAGATGATGAAAATGAGGATGGTTTGTGGTAGGAAGAACCCATAACTGAAGACTGGCGGCTGTACCAATTCAGCATAATCTCGAGGGGTCTTAGCCCCAATCAGATAGACCGGATACAGAGATAGGGCTCCGAACTCCATAAGTCGGAACGGGAACAGTCCGAATGCTTGAAGGATGATGAAGTTGGTGTAGAAGCCCAGTAAATTCGAGAGCGATGTTGCCAAGGCGTATGCGATCTGTGTGGCGCTGGTGAGCTTCTCGGCGAAGCGCTCAAGCATCGTCAGAAAATTGGAAGCAGTTCCTAGTATGGTGAAGAGGATGAAGAAGTTGAAGAAAACGAAAAAGAAGTTCTTCGAAATGACTGACAACTCAACATCGCCTTGTGAGATCATCCCTTGCTTATTAGCGAGCCCTGGGGAGCATTAGCACGTCAAGTTTTGGCCATTCAGAACCAGCACACTTACAGTCGTACAAGAAAGGCACAGCTACATTGATCAGAGTAAGTGCCAATGTGGGAAGCTGAGTGTTGACAAGAGACTCTACAAAATCGTTTTCGTGCAGTACATTTGCCAGGCCCGGGAAAACCTCTTGGATGGAGCACGTGTTGAGAGCACCAGCAATGGGCACTAGCAGGACTGTCCAGAAGACACTCAAGATACCAATCGCGACGGTGATTGACCAAGATCGAAACATTCTTTGGCGGCGAGACAGGTATGTATTGGACCAGACCACGTCCTGTGGTGCTGGACTGTTGTGGGCTAGGAGTTGCAGTGGGGAAGGGTCAAGCACAGCCTGGATGGCCATTTGCGCACTTGCAACGCTATCCATGGTCACAAATGCCAGCGGGGTCGGTTCAAAGTCTTTCTTCCGCAGCGTGCGGATCTCGTCGTCAATCCTACGCAGCTTCTCCTCGTAATAGTCAATGGCATCTACTCTCTTGTATCGTAGCTTGAAGCGGCCGTACCAGATCTTGGCTGTCGGGCGCTGCTGGGCGTAGGGAGTGATGTAATCAGGATCCCGATCTGCGTCGCTTAGGAAATGACTTGTCTCATTCTCGTCGTTTCCGCTGCTTTCCGAAGATTGTGGCGGACGTGGCTGAACAATTGGGAGAGTCTCCAAGCTTCGTTCCACTTGGCGGCTTCCAAGATGGACAGTCCAAGCTTCCTCGAGCTTCCGCAAGATGGCCTGCCTCTCGATGACTTTGCTGTCGAGCTCTTTCCAGTCCTTGCAGAGAGTCACACTCTCAACCTTGCCGATGCCAAGGTCCATGATGAAGTTCTTGATCTTGTCCTCGGACCTAAGGTCAACTGGAATACCCGATAATCGGATGGTTCGGTCGGTGATGGTTGTCTGGCTTCCCAAGTACTCTTGCCGGATATCGATAATCCTCCTCGTCTCCGAGACAATCAAGTATAGTATGAGGGCGGTGAAGAGGTAGACAAAGACGAGATACATCCATAGGTAGTCGGTGTATTGTTCGTATTCGGCCGCGAATGTAGAAATCGTACTTCGTGTCTCAAGATGGTCCCAGCTGGGTTCTTCGTGGATCGGGGCTTTCTTTCCCTCCTTTTCTTGATGTGTGTCATGCACCGGCTTGATGACGGCCAGGGCGAAGAACAGCGTGACAAGCAGAAACTTGATAGCCATCTTGAAGAAGGCAAGGTATACATAGGCGTCGAGGCCGGCCGATGCCAGCACCTGTTCGTCGGTGATGTTCCATAGTGGTATGATCCAGCCGAAAAGGCTATCCGGAAGCTCGGGCAGCGAGGTCGCAAGGTCGTTCTGCTTCTTGCGTGCAGCATAGAGGCCTTTCCATCGTGGGCGGAGGAACTAGGGTGGAGAGTCAGCAGGTGGGCAGTAAGACGAGGCTGCGAAGACGAACGCAGAAGGTCAGAAATGCACCTATGCCAAGCGCGAAGGAGATGGAGATCTGGAGGTGGATGTCGCGCGGCCGGTCTTTGCCCCAAATGTCGTTGCTGCCATCCTTGCAAGTATTGTGGTGGTCGCTACTGTTGCCCTTGATCATCGCCGGATTCTGTCAAGTCGCCATGAAAACCGTCGAGGGCTGCGAGTTGTGTATAACTCGAGGATCGAATCTGGTGTTGGCCATGTCATGATCCGCACGCTAGCCGCTCAAGCCATGCGACAGCAAGCTTCCCCCCTGTCATGTACCCGCTTCCTTCTTTAGACACCCACTCACTCACCGCAAATCACACCGCATATACGTCGACCCAACTGCACGTTCTTGAAAGGAGAGACATACCCAATGCAACAAAAAGGTGCCGTTGCTTTGTTCAGATAGATATCATATGTCATATGACGTAGAGCCTACTAAGTTGTTGCAACAGAGGAATGATTTCATTAATTAGTGATGAGAACGTCGAGTATCCTGGGTATCAAACACCGCAAATCGCTAAAAGTTGCTCAACAGACGTCTGACTCGGGTAAACCGAACAGCCAAACCATACCCCACAGCCTTGCGCGCTTTTCGCCAATCCGTGTACTAAGTGCCAGATCGACCGCCCTCTTCAGAGCTCGACGCTTGGAGAACAAGCTCAGAAAAGTATAAGGCCGAGTCGGTTTGGGATATCTGTCACCAGTCTCAAGCTTGTACGCTGCTTCGGGGTACTCTGCAAGAGATTGTTGACCAAGTTTCTCTGTACTCATGTACGGCGCATCCGCAAGCATCCACCAAAAGAGTCTGCTCAAGGGTGTCTGGCCTTCGTACAAGGCTGCGTTGAAACCATCCTCGTCAGCAGCAGAACACTGAACAAACTTCAGGTACGACTGCAAAGCTCGTACCACATCGTTCGCACGGCAATCTTCTAGCTGGCCATTGTCTCTCCAAATGCGCGACGAATGATAGGGGTGTCCTACCTCTCGTACGTTGCCCAAGTCCCCTATCACCCAATGTGACTCGTCTTGGATGAACACGTTCCCAGGCTTGACATCGTCGTGGCAGTAGCCTGCATCGTGAAGGATGCCCATGTCTTTGAGTAATTCGTTGAAGGCCGGTCGATAGATTGCATCAATCTGCTCGTAAGACATTGGTTGTTCGTCCAAGGAAAGCTTCTTGGAGAGCGAGGCAAGATTACCGCCCCTCAACAGAGGAGTAACAAGGTGCCATTCTGCCAGCTCACCAGGCGCCGTGGAAGCCCTGAAATGTGCCTTCACAGGAAGGAAGCCGTTATGTGTCGCATTTCCGTAGTCATCAACTGAACCTCCAAATTGGAGTGATGCGGGTATCTCCGTAGGCCATTTAGACGCGTCTGGCGCGCAATTCCGGAACGGACTTCGCCCTGGCGTGAATGTCTTGATAACCCACTCTTCATAGGCGAATACCTTGCCTTCCCAACCTTCACCAAGCACCTTCCAAGACGCTCGATTCGCTACTAGCTCATCTTGAAAGTTGGTTTGCTCGTCATCAGGCGGCCAAGATCGAGCTTGTAGGTCTTCTTCGTTGTATGAGTTGAAGTTGGTTGCGGAGTACTTCTCGAAGAGTGCTTGTCTACTAGACAGGTACAGCTGTTGTTGCCGGAACAGCGCAAGTATGCAGAATACAACAGTGACCCGATAGCGCAAGTGGTACAAAGTCCGAGTGCTGTGTGGTACTGGATTAGAGAGAAGGCGACCCATATATGCTGATGTATGTCTAAGGAGACGATATTGGCTTGACGAGGAGAGAACCGTTTACTGGGGCTCAGGACTCATACCAAGAGGGTGCGGCTGCTGTGACTCTTGTAGAATCACAAGCGGCACCCCCTTCGAACATCATAGGAGACTGTTATGCGCCAGCGCACTGGGACGGCGCGCGAGCGCAATCGAACGATTCAAGCTCTAAGTGGCTCTCGTGGGACCAAAGGGTATCTCGGCTCCTACTGCCAGGCGCAAAGCGCTATTCTTGCTCTTCATACTGCGCCCCTATGACGTCCATCTCCAAGCTCTTGGCTTCTAAGTGGCTGAGATGTAGCTCTTTGAAGCGAGGAAACAGGAAGTCAGATAGCCCCATTCGGATCTCGGCTGAGCCACAGCATAGCCAATCTCCAAGTTATGTAAATTAGAGCAATGCTCAGATCATCATTGGCTACCAGTCGTAGACGAGGACGGCATCTATCCGGTAGCGTACCATATCAGGCTGTATATCCCCTAGTGCCAGACCGGAGTCAGTAGTGGGTGTTACACAGCCGGCCTGTGCTTACTGTTTATGCTACGAAGTACATGTTTTCGACGAGTTGTTGATCTTCGAGCTACCACGCCATTGGCTTGGTAGAAGCACTAAGCTCGACACAGCCTCAGGCTAACAGCTCCATGGGACATGGGCCACAACAAGATAGTTCCAAGTATTCCAAGCTTTTGCGATTCTGGAGTATGGTATCCGAATTTCTGGTGTTGTCAATAAAAAGGTGGGGTGACGTCAAGGATGTGCTGTCACCCAGTCAGGTCCAAGTGCCAGGTACCGAATTAGCGCAGCGCACTGATCAACGGATCTCAAGCCTCATGGAAACGGTCTCACACTCTGCCGTCACATCCTGAATCCTTGCATTATTCCAGATCATGGCGTCCGAGGCCCGCTTCGTTGAGAACAGAACCCGTTTAGTTTCCCACTTTGATGAATACAAGTACTGAGCGCTACGTTCCGCCACTTCCGTAGCCATAGCTAACGGTTTCAGGACACGGGATGCGCAAGGCGACGGGTGGGCCAAACTATGGGAAAAGAATGAGCAGGATCTGTGGGATCGGGGCCAGCCTTCGCCTGCATTGACTACGTTCCTGGAAGAACATCCTTATCATGAGACGCTGTTTCAAGACAAGACTAGACGACAATTGAAGGCCTTTGTACCCGTAGGTTTCTCTTGACGAGCTGGTCCACAAAAGAGGCTCATCATACACTAGGGCTGTGGGAAAGGACATGATGTGGCGCTCTTAGCACGCCATGGCTTCAAGACGTGGGGTCTTGAAATTTCTCAGGGAGCAGTGGATGTTGCAAATCAAAACGTAAAATCCTACTTGGAGCCTTCGGCTGGTCATCATGCTGACGTCGTGCTCGGCGACTTCTTCAAGAAGGATATCGAGGCCTATCTTGGGCCAGACTTCCATGGCTTCGATCTGATCTATGATTATACGGTAAGTTCCGAATTCCGGGCTTCGGCAGTTCGATGTACTCATGATGAGGGCTGATGGTCTCGATCCAGTTCCTGTGTGCCCTACTTCCTGAGATGAGAAAAGACTGGGCTGAGCGCATGAAAAGTCTTTTGTCGCCAACTGGCGTCCTTGTATGCCTCGAGTTCCCTATGTGGAAGCCGTTGAAAGATCAGGGCCCGCCTTGGGGTCTCAATGGCGTACACTGGAATCTTTTGGCTGAAGGTGCTGACGGTCTATTTGACGAATCCGGCAATCTTCTTGGAGGCGGCCAAGAAAAGGGCTCATTCGAGAGAGTCGTATACTGGAAGCCACCAGTTTCGTTTAAGCAGAGCCGCGGTGAAGACATGCTCAGCGTATGGAAGTTAAAGCAGTAGACCCCAACGTAATTGGGGCTTGTTATCATGCTGCATCAACAACTTTCAGCAGCAAGTTTCCACATGGTAACAGTGTTCGCACACGAAGCCTAGAAGCCTTCCAATGTGACATCATGACGACCAATCAAGGTTCCATTGACATGGTAGCAATGCTAAACTCTTATAGTCTACCTAGTCCCGAGTACCATCTCACATCCCATCAGTCAGCATAGCCTCGACTATCTGCACATGCCGGTTTGCATTTGTTTCGCTCCACTCCGTGTCATAGTTCAGCCCTACATATATGGAAGTATGAAGTAAGTGTATGTCTCACGTGCATTTTGTACCACGGGAACTTACCATATGGCCAGAAATGCCCACCACCACAAGTAATCTTCGCGTTCGCCCCATCAAAGCTTCTCAACAATGGTAGCGCTGTCTTCCAATCACCCGCTGCGCACTTTGTGTTGAAAGCCGCCGTCTGGCCAACTCCCAACGTATGCGATATTTCGTGCATCGCTGTCCTTTCGGTCATGTAAGCGCGATCCGAGCCGAAGCGTAGGTCGCCATTGTAGTTTGCTTCGGCAGTAGGAACACCTGGTGCATATGCTACACGGATCGTTTTGTTGGCATCAGAGTACTTTCCGTAGCGCGCAACGGCCTTGGTCATCGCGGCTTCGATCTTGGTGTATGCATCTCTTTGGTCAGCAGTGGGGTTGGAAGCTTTTGCCAAAGACCAAGTCAGGCGTGCAGATGCGCTGCAAGCATATGCCGCGACGAGAAGAAGAGAGAATTGCATGACGACAGATGTGATTGTTCGTATCGACACAAGAGATGTGGTTGCTGGCTGTGGAAAGCTTGCATCTCGGGGAGTACTACGGTATGCCTATTGATATATCTCGATTTCTCTTTTGATTTGTCCCCACTACTGATTAACACTCACACCTCCTTTGTTGTAGTGGTTGTAATCAGGAGCGGCTATACAACCAGATTAGGGAGGCGGACATATGAGATGGCATGTGGGTCGAAGCGCAGAAATATTACTCCCATCCAGCAAACACTATCATTCGACCACGCATGATACCTTTCCATGGCGCACGGATGATGTTTAATGTACATTGGCTTGGTAGTGCGGTGTACAAGGGCTGAAACGATCAAGCGTCGGAGATTTGATTGTATATAGATGCCCTCCCCGCATTTCGGAAGATTTCCAAATCGGCAATGATAAACACCTGCCGGTGCGCAAACATTAACCCGCCTGCCGGTGCTAACTCTAGCTGACCCAAGCTTCAAGATATCACTATATCGTTTACTTCTTCGTATAGGTCCTCGAGCCCTCTTCCACAATCAGCTTTCTCCTAATGGCGACCATGATCTCGGGCGCTCTATGGGCAGAATATATGTGCATACCAAACACTGGTCTTTATCCAGGAAGGACGAAGTCTTCGCTGGCAAGAAAACATAACTGCTTGTATGCGAGTACTTGCAAGCACAGTTTCTTGTGAGGCATAGTTGTGCAAGGCTACAACCTCGTGAGGTCTGAACGATTGACCCGAAATCTGGGCGGATCAGGCCCGTATATAGGTAGGATTTTACCATGATTACAAAGGAAGTGGTACGAGTATCGGTTTACCATTCGGCGCTGACGTGGGCAGTTACGCATTACATGTAATCTCACTGCACTGAAATGCTATACAAAATCAGCTATACGGCAAGTTTGTCTACCTAGGTACTGTTTCACTTACTTTATAACTCACGTCTTAAAAATGTATATGCAAAGTATCACCATAAATATACAAGATAACGTCTTCGTTATGCATACCATGTGATTCGCTCACAGACTTTTCCAAGATCTGGTATGATGTAGCATTTCCCACTTACTAAACTCGCACTGGATACGGTAGAGAACAACCTGGATAGAAAAAGCATACTATATCATTATCTTACTTGAGCCCAGCTACCTAGGTAGCCAAGACGTGGAAGTAAAGAGATGAGACACTGTGTCCGCTCGCTCTATACATAGCGGAGCAAGACTTGAAGTTGAAGACACGAAATACTACAACCTCCTGCCGTTAAAATAGCAGGACAAGGCAGAAGAGCTATAAAAAAAATACCAGCAGTGCTTAGTTACTTCCTCCAGATTTCCTACCAAAAGATTAGAGTCAATGCCTGAATAGTCCAGACAACACACTTATTTGACGTCGAGAAATATAGCCTCGAGCGACGACATTATACTATTGAGAATCAAACTGCCGAAGCATCGATATGCAAGGAGTGAGTCAGAGTCAGCGACTGTGGTAAAGCTGACATTCAGAAAGTGATGTATACAGTAAGAGAGGAAGGTACTGCTACACTATATCAAGGACATTTCGCTGTATTTACCTTAACTATCTGCTCGATATATAGATTCCTCAGCTGCTTCTTTTGCCTCTCTTTGCCGAGCTTTCCTTTTCTTCTTGTATGTGTGTGTTATGTTTCCCATCCTAGACCGAGTGACCTGGCAAAAATGAAGGCTGTTGCAACAACTTTATAACGAGATTTACAATGTTTGCAAAAAGAAATGGATGTGATGGTCACTACGAGGGTCGAACTCGCGACCTTGGCGTTATTAGCACCACGCTCTAACCAACTGAGCTAAGCGACCTGTTGTTGTTCGATGGAAGATCACCAAATGCTATACGTTATAATGTTATAATAGATTGATTGGGTCAGCATAGTTGTGACTTGCTCAGGTGCGGGGTTTAGGACATCTTGCAGTTGGTCAACTTCGAGTCGATCTTTGCCGGGCTGACCCCACCCAGCTTCAAAATCCACAAACACCATACCCACCTTTCCAAGATATCCTTCAACTCTGGATAACAAATCTATACTGCTCTTTGATGCCTGCATACCAACTGAATCAGGCAGGCAGATTACAGAATAACAGATCTTACTAGGGATGCGGGCCTGCATGTTAGTCGTTTACTGAGCCGAGATATTCTGAAGTAAGACAATCAACATATGGAAAAGAACAACGTGACGAGGACGGGAATGATGACCGACACTCTGTGAAGAGAAAGTGAAACGACGTGTCTTAGGGAGAGGAAAGTAAGGAAACATATGGTAAGAAGTAGAGACGAGAAAGAAACATAGCAGAGAGAAGAGGAAGAAGAGAGTAAAGTATACAATTAACGTCGACCCATAAACCGATCAAAATGCCTCTCCAGCGAGATCTTCTGCGAGACCTTCCAACTCTTCTTGTCTAAAAGGCACCCACAATCTCTCTGTACCCATAGCATCCTTCCTACTTTCAATCATCTGATGATCGTGGAACTCCTTAAGCAGCGTCCTGAAGCTAACTTCACTTGTGCAAACGAATGCTTCGACAGCCTTGTGGTACAGCACACGGTACTCAACGCCTTGCGCAGACTCTGGAAGAACGTTCTTGGTTTTCTCCACTTTCTTGGACCTTGGCGTAGCAGTGATTTCGTCGTCTTGTTGCATATCACCACCCTCCATGAGTGAAAGTGCTAGCTGCTCCATGACAAGGATGCGGAACAGTTCTCGGGCTTGTTCTGGTAATGACCGCAAGACGAAGCCTACACCGTCTCTTCCGCCGACACGTCTACCGCTGCGTCCCAAGAGTTCATTCACAGTCTCAACCGTGTCTATCTCCGCGTCATAAGGGGCGAAGGTTGTTGCGTCGTGGAAAAGGAATTTGTATTGTGTTTTCATACCGACATCCCACAAGAGAGGGAAGTGGGGTGTATCGGCCGTGCACAGGAGGTTGATGGAGGGATGAGTAGCTAGACGGGCAAGCATGGAGGGTACTGGCGTCTTCCGAAGGTAGGGCGAGTCGATGGAATTCAAAATGACGGGTACTGGATGCGACGGCGGGTTGCTTGTGAGATGCTCGATAATAAAATCGAGTAGGAGTGCAGGTTGATTAGGCAACTTCAGTCCTGCTGGTACCACTGCTGATGCTATGGTCAACAACAGATCTTTGATTGTTGTGCCAGCTGTGTATCCATTTATGACCACAATCTTCGGTGTCTTCTTCGTCCCTTTATACGGCGCGGAATCTATAAGATGTCGATAGAGGCGTGCGGTGAATCGCTCCGTGATGATGCGCTTCGAACCGTAACCGTAGAGACAGATGTTGAATCCTTCCTCCAGCTCGAAGATCCATTGGTTGTATGCACGGCCATGCAGTTCAAGTAGGAACTCTCTCTCGGATTGGTGACGGTCTTGGTAAGTTTGTATTGCTTGGAAGTATTCATCGTGGTTGAGTAGGCTCTGCGCAGAGAGGGTGTTGTTGGAGGTTTTGGTGCCGCCAGGACGGTTTTGCCAGAAGTACTCCTCATGCGGTGGCAGTTCAGTCGGAGGCGTAGGTGAGCGTTGCTTTCGCGGTCGTCCTACCTTTCCTGACCCCTTAGGTCGACCTCTTCCACGCTTTGAAGGTGTCTCTGGCACAGGTACCTCATCTTGTACTGTTCCCTCTTCACCTTGCTCAGTGTCGTCTGCGTCTTCCCCTAAGATATGTTCTGCAAGGTCTTCCTCCTCATCCAAGGCATCCTCGTCGCTCTCATCGCCATTCAGTGTACGCTCCAGTATACGTCGGTTGCTTTTCCTTCGTGCGCTGCGATCGGCGTTGCGAACAATGGTGGGTGTGCCGTTTGGCGAGTCTCGTTTTGCGGACTTTGTAGGGGTTTCAAACACCAGCTTCCGATTGGACTTGGGCGTCGCAGCGATTCCATTTATTAGGCCAGTTTTCTTCAAGATGGATCGTGGTGTCCCATGCTCGGCCAGATGTTGTGTTCTCCCCTTTCTGGACGGTGTCTGCGCCTCGGGCGGTTCTAGCTCATCGGGAGCGTCTTCTGCAAATCGTGCGCGTGACTTCTGCGGTGTGCCCTCATCAACGTCTTCTTCGTCGCGTCTCCGCTTTGTGCCGACCATGTCTTGTTCGTTGGGTGGATGTTTGGGCAGGACAGGGTGACGCGACTTGCGCGACGTGGGTCTTGGCGTGATGGTTGAGGCTCAAC